ACCAAGCTGGAAAATCGACTGATCTGGCCTTACACAATCTGGTTGGGAGGCTGGAGAAGACTCTAGATCAGCGAGAAGTGGCACTCGTGGCCTTCTTAGATATTGAAGGTGCATTTAATTGCACCACAACCGACTCTATCAGACAGGCCTTGGTTAGACACGGGGATGGATCAATCCTAATAGATTGGGTCCTCTCTACTCTGGAGGGTCGGGTAACAACAGCTATGCTGAATAACGTAAGCTGCAGCGTGAACGTAGCTAGAGGCTGCCCTCAGGGTGGAGTTCTGTCACCCCTACTGTGGTGTATCGTGGTGAACGAACTGCTCGTTAGGCTCAACAGTATGGGTGTCTACGTGCAAGCCTATGCTGATGACGTAAGCATAGTGGTTAGGGGGCGTTTCTGTAGAACAGTCTCGGAAATTATGCAGGGCGCTCTGCGCTCCGTGGAATCGTGGTGTAGGGAAGTCGATCTTTCTGTTAATGCTGAAAAGACCGAGCTGATCCTATTCACTAGGAGAAGAAGGCTTGACGGACTGGTCATGCCTACCTTCTTTGGGACTAGATTAGTTTTGTCCCAGTCAGTGAAATATCTGGGAATTATCCTGGACTGCAAACTGAACTGGAGAGAGCATGTGGAACACAAGGTTAGCAAGGCTCGCAATTCGATGTGGGCTTGTAGACGTGTTGTCGGTGTAAGGTGGGGGCTTAAACCCAAAGTGGTATACTGGCTCTACACGACGATAGTACGTCCATCTCTCTTGTACGGCTCCCTGGTCTGGTGGCCTTGCATTAGAACTGAGTCAACTAAGGCCAAACTCAATAAAATTCAGCGTTTGGCCTGTATTAGCATTACAAGCGCAGTGCGAACAACGCCATTGAGTGCAATGGAAGCTCTGTTGGATCTCCCACCGTTGGATCTGGTGATCCGCGGTGAAGCGAGAGTAGTCGCTCATCGACTGTGGAGTCAGGGCAGCTGGGCTTTCTTGAATCCGGTCAAGGGGCATACTGCCATATTAGTCGAATTAGAAAGGGAGGACCCCGTCCTTCTAAGCAGGGGTGATCGTATTACCCCTAAATATCGCTTCAACCGCAAGTTCATTGTGGAGTACCCAACGAGGGAGGAGTGGGACGCCGGTAGCCGAGGACTCTCCGAAGTGAGCGGGCAGGTCTGGTACACGGACGGCTCGGTCACCGAAGAGGGCTCAGGTGCTGGGGTCTCTGGACCTAGAACTAGGCTATCTCTGCCTCTCGGTGAGTACACCACCATTTTCCAGGCGGAAATCTTTGCGATTCTGGCTTGTGTATCTCACATTCTGGAGGAGGGTGGGCCTAGGAGAAGAATAACAATCTTATCCGACAGCCAGGCTGCAATGAAAGCACTAAGTGCATGTAAGATTACTTCGAGTCTTGTATTGCAATGCAGGGAGGCTCTGGATTGCCTCGCAGCGAGGCATCCGGTATCGTTAATATGGGTACCGGGGCACGCTGGGATAAGGGGCAATGAGACGGCGGACACTCTGGCGAAAACAGGATCAGCCAGCAAGCTCGTTGGTCCTGAGCCAGCTCTAGGAGTAACCGCGCATAAAGCTAGGAGGAAAATGGAGACGTGGGTTGCAAGACAACACTCTCAGAAATGGAGAAGTATCTCTAGACATCTCCGCCAGGCACGAGAGCTCATTGAAGGGCCCAGTGCTAAGGATGGACGCTTCTGCCTATCTCTGGGTAGAGCCAACCTAAGGTTGCTGGTGGGACTGTTGTCTGGCCATAACACGTTAAGGCGGCACCTGCACGTTATGGGGGTGGCTGAGGATCCCTTATGCGAACGCTGCGGAGTAGAGGAAGAGACCTCGGCGCACGTTTTGTGTCGCTGTGAAGCTCTGAGCTACTATAGGCAGACTATACTGGGGTCCATTACTTTGGACCCTCAGGACGTAAAGGAGCTTGGACTCAAGGCGATTCTCAACTTCGCTAAAAGGGCGAGGCTTGTGATTTAAGTATTGTAGAGGCGCATAAGGGCCCGCTTAAGCGGCCTATGCACTGGCTCCTTATGGTGGCCGGGATGCCTCTAAAATTCAAGATTCATTCATTCAAGGGCTACATCAGCTTGCCCCTTAAAGAAGCAACTGCTAGAGCCAAAAAAAAAAACAAACAAATTTAAACAATTCTATAGTAAGACAAATGGTAATTAAGACATTGATAATTAATAATGTTTTAAACTTAAGAGATATAGCGAAGTATAGCAAGCAGTGAAATGGAAATTTAGAGTGAGAAGAGAAAGCGAGGGGAAAGAGAAGAAGAGAAAAGGGAGAGCAGGTGATGTGTTTTCTATGATATCTGAGACAGTAAATCACTTTTAAGGTTCCTCTTAAATAAAGCTACCGAGAGAGAAAAATCTTTAATTTTGAATTTATTTACCAAAAAGGCAATTTGATATGAGAATGATTTCTTAAATAATTCTTTATTGTGTAGTGGTATTGTAATCAAATTCAATCTTCTAATGTTTAGATTATGTACATCAGTCCGGTAACTAATTTTTAAGTGAAGATAAGGAGGGCTTTTATATTTTATAATCTTGTAAAAAAAGGAAGTAGAGTGCAAGGTACGCCTCTGAGCCATATTCAACCATCCCAGTTCAGGTAGTTTGTGGGATACTCTGTGTCTACCGCTTATGCCAAATATCAGTCTCAGACAAGAATTCTGAGCTTTTTGAACCCGTTTGGCTTTAGTATTTTGTGATAGGTAATGTCTATGCGGGTAAATTATTTTTAACATTGAATATGCTTTTCTTAGGCACATAGTAATGTGCTCTCTAAACTTAAGTTTAGAGACAACCACTAATCCCAAATCATTCACGGAATCCCTAAATGATATTATATTGTCCCATTGTTTGAGCTTAATATTATACTAAGTGACATATAAATCCGAACACCCAGTTTAAATGGTTTTATTTTAATAAAATTTTGTATAAGTACTTAATGATAAAAATTTCAAAATGATTGCACTGCTTTAAAGCCCTTTGACCTTTAATAATGTGTGGATGCACCCTGATGTGCTACGCATTCTCCAACGCGCCTAGGCATGCTTCTGATCAGGTGGTCAATGTCCTCCTGTGGTATCTCATTCCAGGCAACCACCAACTCCTCTCGAAGTGCTTCTAGAGTCTGAGGAGGACGTTGCAAATTGAGCAATCTCCTACCCATCATATCCCACACGTGCTCAATTGGGGATAAGTCGGGAGATCTTGGTGGCCATGGTAACAATGTGACATCATTATGTTGAAAGAAGTCTATTGTGACTCTTGCAACATGTGGTCGGGCATTATCTTGTTGGAAAGTTGGATCTGCCAGGGTGTCAAGATAGGGTAAACGATGGGGTTCTAGAACTTCGTGGATATAACGCTGCGCGTTCATGTTACCTCTGATGAAGATTAAAGGTGACCTGGAATCATAAGCTATAGCACCTCAAACCATAACTCCAACAGTGTGATGAACATGTCTTTCAACAAAAAACTGTGGATTCCTCCTTTCACCACGTCGCCTTCTAACCCTGGCACGACCATCGTGCATGCCTAAAGAAAATCGAGACTCGTCACTAAAGACAATACTGTTCCATTCCTGATCCCAGAGTAACCGTTGTCTGCACCACTCAAGGCGATTACGGCGGTGTTCTCGAGTTAAAGGGAGGACCCAGTGTGGCCGGTATGAAAACAAGCCAAAACCTCTCATTCGTCGGTAAACACTTCGCATGCCAATAGGTCTTCCGTGTTCTGCAAACCATTCATTTGCAATGGACCTGGTAGTGGAGAAACGGTCCCTTAAGGCCAATAATCTTAGGCGGCGATCTTCACGGTCTGTTGTTCTACGGCGGCATCCAGTGCCCCTTGCTCTTTGCGTACGGCCTTCTCGAAGCCATGCCTGACAACACCTAACCACAGTGTCTACACTTCTTTGCACTCTAACAGCTTCCCGAAGTCCCACTATACAGCCCCTATCAAACTCACTAAGTTGACAAAATCGTACAGGTCTCCGTACTCTAGGCATCGTAACCGATCGTAAAGGATGTCAAGAACCAAAATCCGCCAACGTTGATTCTTTACTGCGGCTGAAATATTCATTTTTGGTGCGTTAGTGAATTAAAAAAAAGCAGTATAAAAACCGGAATGTCCAACTGATACGGCTGAAAATTTTTTCACTTGTTATTTACAGTAAGATAAATGCATTCACCAACTTTTATTAAAATAAAACCATTTAAACTGGGTGTTCGGATTTATATGTCACTTAGTATATTTTCTAATTCGTTTCAGCAGGAATCACTACAAAACAATATAGCCATCGATTTATTAGGGTTTATCTGTAACAAGTGATCTTCAGAGGTTTTGAGAAGGCTATTCAAGTCGGTATTCAGTCGGTTTGTTATAAGTTCTGACAGATCAGGTTTAAAAGAGGCATAAATTTGAGTGTCGTCAGCATAAAGATGATATTGACAATAACTCAGCGACTTCATGAAATTAAAAGTATATAGGCTATACAATAATGGACCCAAAATACTATCCTGGGGCACCCCTGATGTAATTGTAACTGTATCTGATATGTTCCCGTCCAAAGTCACGCGCTACATCCTTTCAGATAAAAAAGAATTTATTAGTGCATAGGCCGGCTGCTCTAATCCAATATATTTCAAAATAGCCGCTAGTATCTCATGATTAATTATGTCAAATGCTTTCGTGTAGTCCAATAGCACCAAGACAGTAGCACTTCCCGCATCCTGTTCTCTGATGACTTCATCCACAAGATCTGTTAATGCTGTGGAACAACTGTATCCGGTTCTAAACCCTGACTGTCTAGGGGGGATGATATTGTTGGCAAAAACGAAGTTAGCAACTTGTATAGCGATTGCCTTTTCCAAAAGTTTAGAAAGGGTTTATCTGTTTTTGACAGATGACGCGTGAATCGTGTCTTGTGTCATTGTCAAACTTGTTCAGTTTGGTCTATAATTTAACCATGAATCGACTTACAAACGAACAACGCTGGCAAATTATTGAATTTTACTATCAAAATTCATGCTCGGTTAAGAGAGTGCATCGAGCACTGCTTCCAATTTATGGGCAATTTGGTCGGCCTACTGAGGGAGCTATTCGGAAGCTTGAAACTAAATTTCGAACCCAGTTTACATTATTGGACATTAAACCACCAACACGCAGACGTAGAGTGAGGACTGAAGAAAATATTGCGGCTGTATCCGCCAGTGTTAGTGATGACCGTGAAATGTCGATTCGCCGCCGTTCGCAGCAATTGGGCCTCTGTTACTCCACTACGTGGAACATTTTGCGACAGGATTTGGGTGTAAAACCTTATAAGATACAGCTGGTGCAAGAATTGAAGCCTCACGACCTCCCTCAACGTTTCCCATTTGGTGAATGGGCTCTGGCAAAGTTGGAGGAAGATCCACATTTTTATCGAAAAATTGTGTTCAGCGACGAAGCTCATTTCTGGTTGAATGGGTACGTTAACAAGCAAAATTGCCGCATCTGGAGTGAAGACCAGCCAGAAGCATTGCAAGAGCTACCAACGCATCCCGAAAAAATCACTGTTTGGTGTGTATTATGGGCCGGTGGCATCATCTGGCCGTACTTCGTCAAAGACGACAATGGCCGGAACGTAACTGTGAATGGCGAGCGCTACCGTGCGATGATAACAAACTTTTTTTTTGCCCAAAATGGAAGAGCTGGACTTGGCTGACATGTGGTTTCAACAAGAAGGTGCCACATGCCACACCGCACACGAAACAATGGCCCTATTGAGAGGCGAGTTCGGTGAACAGTTTATCTCACGTTTGGGGCCGTCAATTGGCCGCCTAGATCGTGTGATTTAACGCCGTTGGATTATTTCTTGTGAGGCCATGTTAGGGCTTATGTCTACAGGGATAAACCAGCAACGATTGACGCACTGGAAGCCAATATTGAAGCATTTATTCGTGAGATACCGGCCGATATGTTGGAGAGAGTGTGCCAAAATTGGCGCATGGGCCATCTAAAGCGGATCCGCGGCCAACATTTACATGAAATGATCATAAACATTAAATTATATCGACCGTTCTATCGACTGAAATAAAGATTTAATCATTTTTTCATATTTTTTGTGTTTTTTTTTTGAAAATCAAATCCTATACCTCTTAAAAAATCACCCGTTATAAGTAGCTATGGAAGAGCAACACAAGGCAATCAGGGTAACGTTCATGCTATTAGCTCCAAAAGCCTTCGACTTGATACTGAGGATACTATTTAAAACAAAATCTTCGTCGATTAGGTTAAATGAGAAGGTTTCATTAAGCAAGGAGTTGTTACAGAAATGCAACAATTCTTGTTTTGGAGTATTATTTTGTGATATTTGGGCAAAGTAGGTAATAGGTTCATTAACATTCCTTAAATGATTTCCATTACGTTCTGCAACCAGATGGAAATACTGAAACAATTAAAAAATCAGTTAATTGGACAACAGACAATGTTTTTAAAAACAATCGATAAAAGAAAGGCTGCAACTGAAGCATCATACCGGGTGTCCCAGATAATTTTACAAGAGAAGAAACCTCATGAAGGCGGAGAAATGATAAAACAGGCGTTTTTAGAAGCTGCAGATTCATTATTTGCCAACTTTAGAAACAAAAACGAGATATCGTCTGCTATAAAATCTATGCAACTTTCTGCTAATACAGTAATGAGACGCGTAGAAGCAATTAGTAATGATATAGTTTTTCAGTTAAGAAATGTCTTCGATAACTGTGCTTATTTTTCACTGCAGCTGGATGAATCCACAGATATCGTTGACACCTCTTAGACAGCCGATGGTTTTTAGTGATTTTACGATTAAAGATCTTTTGAAGTTTATTCCACTAGAAGGACAGGCTACTGGGCAGGACTTGTTTTCTTCTTTTAAAAATACTGTTTCTTAAGAGAAAATTTCAATATCTAAAATGGTAGGCTTGACAACCGATGGTACTCCAGCTATAGTGGGTCGAGATAAGGGTCTCGTGGAATTATGTCGTAAACATGAAAGTTTTTCAAAATTTATCTGTCACCACTGCATTATCCATCAGCAAGCATTATGTGGACATTTTCTAAAACTAAACAACGTTATCAAATTGGTAGTAAAAATTATGAACAAGAATAGAGCTCAAGTGTTACAAAGAAGATTATTCAAAACCTTGGCCGATGAAATTGACTGTCAATACGGGGAACTACCTCTTCACGCTGAAGTCCGATGGTTAAGTCGAGCACGAGTGCTAAAACGTTTTAATGATATCCTATCCGACATAGTTCAATTTTTCAAACAAAGGAAAATTGAATCTGGCTTAGAGATTTTGGTTTTCTTGTGGAGATTACAGAAAAATTAAATGAACTCAATTTGCAGCTTCAGGGGAGAGACAAAGAACTAGCAGAAATGATTTCTGATATAAAAGCGTTTTTAAAAAAGCTTGAGTTTTGGAAACAAAACTTAATCGATGGCGATGGCAGGCATTTTCGTGTTCTTTCAGAAAGGATATCTCAAAGTACATTAGAACTATATGACAGTAAATATCCTTGGAGGATAACTTAAAAATCGTTTCAAGGATTTGGACGAAATTGCTATAGTGGCGCAATTTATTGTTTTACCCTTCATGAAAATTGATATATTTTAGCGAAGACATCGCTGCGACAGAAATGAAAGTGATTGCGTTTCAAAATGATTTAGCTTTAAAATCAATAGTCTCAAATACAAAATGTATCTGGCCTTCAGTAAGTAAACATTAAATATTCAGTTTTATGTTGTGTTGCCTTGAAAGTGAAAGCGTTATTTAGTTCAACCTATTTGTGTGAATCTTATTTTTCAAATATGAAGTTTAATAAAAACAAATACCGTAATCGACTTATAGATGAACATTTGGATAATTGTATTCGAATGACAGTATCAAATTTTACTCCAAACATTAAAAAAATTGTCAGTGAGTCTGAGTGTCAGGCTTCTCATCGAACACACATTTTTTATCTGGACATGTCTTTGTTTATAATAGTGCGTTGCTTTTTTTATTTTTAGTTAGCTTCATTGAATCGTGTAACATGCCATTGTAGCTGACGAAAATTTGTGTTAATTAACACCTACGATTGGTAGGATATGATGAAGTTATGTAGTATGTACTAGTTATTATGTTATTAGTTTATTTAAGTTTATTAGTATGTATTAGTATTAGTAAAATAAACACATGTATGTCATCGCATACAAATGTGTATAATTTCTTTCAAGTTGGCTTACATTCTTACGACTATGTAGCTCACTGTTTATTCCAAAATTATAGCTCAACACACTGATAAAGTTGGCGACCATTGGTCTAGGAAATATCCTAGCATCAGTCTAAGAGAATAATCTGATTCGGCTTTCTTGCATAATCTTATTCATCCCTTTTAATGGACCTGCATGTTACCAGGCACACAATTGCGTCACAAGTTCTTTAAATAATCTTTGTCAAACTAATTCCAAACATTGTTTTTTCCGCTCAGGTCAAGCATTTTCAAGGTTTTTTGTTCCATTCTGAACAAAAAGATTCATATGAAGACCAAAATTTTGTTGTCACCAAAGTTCCTAAATATTTCTAAACATCCATTAATAAAATTCCCAAACATTTTAGCGTACGCTCAATGTATATTCTACCGGTCTTTTGGTATTTCTACCAAAATAAGATCTTGTTTACCGAAATATTGAAAACGCCCTCATTTTATATTTCTAGATTTTTACCGAAAAAGAACTGGAACCAAAAATAAAGCTAAAAAATAATTTCTGTGTAGTCTACGTAGTGTTATGTCCCATATACCAATCATATAGTACATAAGCGTACACTTAAGCTATCGGGCACACGAGGGACGTAGAATTGGGTTACCTACAACATCCCTTATTCCGCTTGTCGCTATATGGATTTTTGTGGGAGAGAGGTCATTATCAGTCAACTAATATGGAAACCAAAAATGACAGGTGATAAAAAAGGGGTGAAACAAAAAATATTCGGAATCTTATAAACAAAAATGGCAAGGAGTTTCAATGATGGTTGCAAAAGAGTTTGAATAGCGACCAGTATGATCGTTGTACACGTTGTAATAAAGAACTGGATGTTTTCATTAACCTGTGTTGTGTACTTGCGCTATACAAAAATATACTTTTGTCATAGGGGAAAGTCCCTTGATCCATCGCTGATCTTGTGACGGCCCTGATTTTTTCCTCCTACCGATTTTTTCCTTGAGTCTACCAAATTACAAATGAAAATATGAAACACATTTTGCCTTTATTTTCAGAAGCATTGTCAGGCTATCCGATTGATGCGTGGTGATGCTTTCAGAATGATGGCACAACACTTGCCTTCTTGCGCTCTCTTGTGATCTTTATTATTCAGGAACACCTCAAATGTAGGTTGTGACTCTGGGTCATACACTATCAGTTTTTTACCATCCTCCATTGTCTACCAGTTTAATGTGAGTTTAATGCAAATAAACAAAAACGGTGAAAAAACATAACCCAACAATCTTGACACATTGCCATTTACGTTATCCCCACTATTTCGGAGCGTATAATACCGAATAGAAAGCTGGTGCATGACTAAGCAGAGGATTTAAAAAATGAGTAGCTCAGGTGCAAGATGGTCGCGACAACAGCGGGTCATATTGTAACAATTGCTCTTAATGAGCAAAGAACTGTTACTGCGGATTGGTATACCACCATTTGTTTGGCAAAAGTCATCACCGAGCTTCGAAAAATCAACCCCGAAAGAAGAATCATCCTCCACCAAGACAATGCAAGCTCGCACACAGTCCAAAAAACAAGGCAGTATTTAACGGAAGAAAACGTGGAATTATTGGACCATCCTCCATATAGTCCCGATCTAAGTCCTAACGATTTCTTTACTTTCCCGAAAATTAAAAACAGACTGCGTGGTCAAAGGTTCCATTCACCAGAAGACGCAGTTGACGCATTCAAAAATGCTGTTTCGGATCTGCCAGCAAACGAGTGGAATAAGTGCTTCGAAAATTGGTTCGAGCGCATGTAGATGTCTATTAATCTTCGTGCAGAATACTTCGAAAAGCAATAAAGTCATTTAAAACTACCTACCGTGTTGTTTTATTTCCATATGCAAAACTTAGAAGACATCCCTCGAATTGTTCCACCCAGTTCAAATGAAAATGGTATGTCTTCATCTTCTTACTACTGCTCATAATGTTTTTCATTGCAGGCCAACTCTAACCCAACCACTGGAATCGAGATCGTTCTTGAACATATCGCTCAGAATTTACAAAATCCATGGAAGCTTCTGTGATTTTTACACCTTTTTAAAATATGTTGTGAGCCACTTGAATTACCCGCGATCGACGGGTTGGCTGGAGCAGTGGAACGGTATTGACAGGTGGAGGGCAATACGAATTTCTCCGAGTAACACAAATGAGGCACTGGATGAATCGACTTTGTTACGTTCTGGTAGGCTTACACTTTTGGTCTAAACTCTTACAGCTGGTTGTAGGTCTAATCTAAGGAATACGATTGAAGAAAAAGTATTGTGAGATTATTTTGGAATAATCAACTTTCGTACGCCTTTGTATTATTTGCTTCCTCCCGCGCCAGTAGGCGTGGGAAGTAAAAAAGAAATGAAAGTACTACCTTCAACAACTGCTTCTTTCTTCACGGGCCAAGGTACGTCATGCTGGTGCCTAAGATGATGGTGATTCTCCCCAGCAAACTCAAATTTTTTCAGCTTCTGTGGAGATGTAGGTTCATTCGCGAAAGCGTAACTGTCTTGATGCCTCAGAAAATGGCTGCGCATTTTGTGGTACGGTTCAGTGGTGAAGGATTCTTTGATGACAAGCAGCAAGCAGACCAATGTAGGATAGGCTAGTTTCATTGTAGACTAATCTGAAAATAAGGAGTTCATGTAATAATATTTACTCCTTAAACACAATATGAAAAATGAGTAAATAAATATAAAAGTAGGGTCCATAGAAGGCATGCTTGTACATGAACCATTAATATTGCAATTGCACATATAATAATTAAAACACAATGATACTACTAATCATCGAATCATTTGATATTTATACTTAGTATTAATTTGTGTATGTCTGGCATCGCTAAAGAAAATATCCATTCTTTTATTTTTTTATGTTATTACTTACGTATAATTTTGGTCCTAAATAAAGTAATGATCACTGTGTTGAATTGTTAGGCCTAGGTTCTAGGTGAAACCATTCCTCATAGTGTATGTCCTGCATGGTGGCTGTGTTTGATTTTTTGATCGTTACTAGTAGCATATAAAATATAAAGTATTCTCAAGTCACACAGGTGTATACCTTTGTATAAGACATCAGTGGAATATTATTTTGGTTAAATATTATTTTGAGAATCTTACGTATAAGTTGAGCATGTAGCACCCCATGCCGATATACCATAGGCTGAATGTGGTTTGATCAAGGAATACCTTTAGGGTATTTAATTTTATGAGACAAATCTTACTTTTTCAAAATATATGAAATATGAACATCCCATCGCAAGTGTAGATCTAGGAATAATCCCAAGATATTTTGTATCTGATCCAATTTCTGATTTTTATGAAAGAAAGTGACAGAAAAGCGAACACCCCGTGGTAACAAATTTATTACAACAATATTTTGTAGATATATGTTTGGTAGCAATATTTGATCAAAACTTCCGAAAAATTGAACAGTTGAAAAAAATTTCAAAAATTAATAACCTGTTGGGCCTCCACGATGCCTTATACACTCAGAAACACAGCATACTCTTAATGAGATGAACCGTTCCCGCTTGAGCTATCTCATTTTAGGCAACTTATATCTATACTTATACTTATACCCCGTGCCGAAGTGTCGGTGGAGTGAGTTTCTTCCGATAATGTCCAGACGTGCTCAATGTGTGAAGGATCGGGAGATCTAGGGGCCATGGCAACAAATCGACTTGAGTGTCTTCAAAATCGGTGAACGAAATTCTGGCTATACTTGGTCGACCTTTTTTCATATGCTATACAGGGTGTCCGCAAAGTTGGGGTTTTCCTTTTCAGAAACAACTACCCTTGAAATAACAAAGGTAATGTGTAGTGAAACGAGGGCGACCAAGTAAAAAAAAACAAAGGAAAAAGTACTTACTTTCCAGTTGACGAGAAGGGCTAAGTACGTCTCTGCCCGAAATCATACCGCTCCAACAGAAAATGAAATCAGCTGAAGCGCTACCGAGTAGACGCAGAAACCACATTGATTGTCTTACACTTAATGGCACATCTTCTAACAAGGAAGGCAAAATGTTGCGTAATTGCGTGCGGATTTTCTACTGACCAAACATGAGTGTTGCGAAAGTTATTCACCCCATTACGCGTGAACGTAGATTCGTCTGTCACCAATATGCACTTCAAAAAGTTCGGATTATTGTCATGTTGATGCAACAACCACTCACAAAACCGCACTCTTGCTGGAAAATCGTCAGGTTGAAGGGCTTGTACACGTTGGACGTGAAACGGATAGCCCCTCTTCACGCAGCGTTTGCCACACTTTAGTTTTTGATACTTGCACTTCTCCAGCCACGTCTCTAGAGATTCTCGTCTACGCGATTACCTCTACATGCGTGACCGTAACCATCGGTTGAAGGTTGCATACTGACCTGACACACTGACCCCGACCCAGTTCTGCCGTCGCGTTGAGACCTTGTACCAATCTGTGATGTCCCGGGTCGCGGCTACAGGACGGTATTCAGATATTTTTGATGTTGCAGAGCCCTTTATCTCGGTTCCCGGTGTATATGGTACTAAGAAAAATTGCTTATGTTTTCAAGATCTACACGTCGTGTAAAGGAAAACCCCAACTTTGCGGACACCCTGTATATGCAATATATTGGCGAAACAAGAAACATTTCCTCCAATACGAGATACAGAACACGTGAGAATTGTTTTTCTGGTAGACTTTTGAACAGTGGCAGTGCGAAACTTTGGCCCAGGATATGCACACTCCAAGCAAACACAGCACCACGGAAAGTTACCGTGACGTAGAAGAAGTTGGCCCGTCAGAAGCAGTATATTCGCGAAACACAAAGGACTTGGAGTTTGTCACGACTCGGTGTGAGTTTTCCGAACATGAGACGTAACAACTTTGTTGGTAGACTTTTGAACAGTGGCAGCGAAAATTTTGAATATGGGGAGCTATTTTGATTCTTGAAGTCACTTTGGTTCTCTACTATGTGGTTCCCCCACTTCCTGGTTGTAACGCAAGGCGGTCGTGTTGCCTCTGATGAACAAGGTGACCCGCTTCTACAGGGTGGCCGATATGTAGTTGACTGGTTTTTATCTTGAATATTTTATTGAAACTTAGAAATTAGCCCTCTTGATTACATTTTCCATCACTTTTAGGTAGATTTCGGGAGGAATATTTTCAATCGATTCCGTAATACTGTTCTTTAGCTGCTGTACAGTATTTGGATTGTTAGCATAAACCTTATTATTCAAAAATCCTCATAAAAAAGTCAGGAGGCGTCAAGTCCGGTGACCTTGGTGGCCAGTTGACACCACCAAAACGAGAAATTAAACGTCCAGGAAATATTGTTCGCAAAAGATTCATTGTTTCCCTAGCTGTATGAAGTTGTTCCGTCCTTCTGGAACCACATGTTTTTAATTTTAAATTGTTGGATTTGAGGAGCCAGAAAGTTTTGCACTATATCTCGGTAGTTTTCGCCAGTGACAGTAAGAGAATTACCTGCAGCGTCTTCAAAGAAGTAAGGTCCAATGACACCTCTATACCAAACACCATGTAGTGGTCGTCGATAGATGACACGAGGGTTCTCTAATGCCCAGATATGACAATTCTGCTTATTAACAAATACATTCATATCGAAGTAACCTTCATCTCTCATTATCAGTTGTCGGTAAAAATCGTTATTTTTAGTATTAAGCTGCAATATTGCATGACTGTATTGTCGGCGACTTTCATAGTAGTTCTTGGGTCAACTGAATTTTGTATGGCTTGTAAGTCTTTTCTTAAAATAGTGGCGCTCCATTAAACTTTCACGAACTCTCTCGATATTTAACGGAGTACGAACAGTTCGAACGACTCTTTAGCTTCACCTGTTTGTTAAAATTTCTGCACCAACTGACACTGGGCACATTATTTCGATCGAAATCTTGTCGTAGCTTCCGGATCGTTGCAACAATCGACTCATTACTTAAGTAAAACGTTTTAACAATACGGACGCGTTGTGTAATCATTTTGCACTCCATGATGAATTGGAAACATGTGCTTGAAACAACTAGGGGAGGCCGGGGCTAGTTGTCACAATTTTCAGTAATTCTTTTTTTTATTCGATCTTAAGCGCTATATGCACATATTTGGTGCATAACTAATATGGTTTATCCTTTGGGAACACTATGTAAAATCGATAAGGCTGTAAAATAACTCACAATATTAAATTAAAATGTTTCAAAATACAGAAACAAATGTGACAACTTGCCCCTTGCTGGGGCTGGATGTCACATTGCTTGCGGTTGGTTGTCACGTGTATTTTAGATCATTAATAAATTATGATATCATACTTTTAAACATATTTATTATTACAAAAATGCTTATTAAACACCAAATCTTTATGAGAAAGAAGTAGAAAAGTTTTTTTACAATTAGTCACTATCGCAGTTATGACATATGTAAAGTTCGCGTCCATCAGTGCACGCATCATGAGACCAACCATTACACGATGAGCATTTCACCCATTCTTCATTTGGCGTGCTGTTAGAAAATGGTTCAAAACAAATCAAGCAAAAACATTCTTCTCCGACAGTTTCATTATCTGAACAGGACTTGCGTTTTTCAATTTTTTTAGATTTCTTCAGTTTTTTTTCTGAATCAAAAACGTCTCTTTTCACTGTTTCCCTGTTCCTCTTTTTCTTGTTCCAGCTTTTATTTTTCTCTTTCTCTAATTCGTCTTTTACTGGAGTATCAGTGAGTATTACAGTCTCTCGTTTACGACGGGAAACTCGATTCATTTTTCTTGCCGATGCCTTCGGATAAGGTCTTAAACTTTCTGGAAGTACTATACTCGTATTTCCCGTATG